GTGGGGCGGGGCGCCGTGGGGCGGGGCGCCGTGGTCAGATCAACCACTGAGGGCTTCAGCCTGATTCCCAGCTTGGCAAATGAGGCTTGTGCGACTTCGGATCCTGTGTCTCTATCTCCGTAGTGCAAAGAGATTAATTCTAACAGCCAACATCTGTAAGCATTCACTGTGTTTGAAGTACTTTGCCTATATTAGTGAATTCAGTATGCATACTCGCACAGGTGTGAGGAGGAAACAGGTCACCCAGCAAACAAACGGTAGATTCAGCATTTGAGCTTGTCTGGACACCTTCCTAGAGAGCTTAGTCAAGTGCAAACCCACCCACCCTGGCCCACAGACAGGGCTGGCATTGCTCTAGGTCCTCTTATCGCACTCAGAACCTCCTTGATAGGACCTTTGCTTATATTTCCAACTGTACTTCCTGTTAAAGCCAACAAAACCTCACACTGCAGCAGCCGAATAACTTATTGTTCCCTGAACTTAGCTGTTTCTCTCTCTCCTCCCCACCCTGCACCTCCAGATTCAGTCTAGGGTTCTCCATCTCTCTTCTTCCTCACCACCACCCAAATCTTACTCTAGGGTTCTTGGAAAAATAACTGCACTCCAGCCTGGGCGACGGAGTGAGACTCCAACTCAAAAGTAAAATAAAATAACTACCAACTGATCATCAGCCTCTATCTACTTTCTTCCCTTCTGCCCAGTCTATTCCACAGAGCAGACTCATGACCTCTTAAAAACGCAAATTGAGTTACACTCACCCCCAACCTTAGACCCTACCCTTCCTCCATGTTGCTCTATGGCCTTGCTGGTCGGTCCCTCACGCCCGTTTGCCCTCATTTCCGCCACTCTTCCACGGCCCCCTTCACCAAACCACCTCTTCTCCGCAGGTCAAGCTAGTTCCAGCCTCCGAAACTTTGCACAGTGGGCCTCCGCTTCCTCCGGGAGGACTCACACCTTCAAATTCAGAGTACACCGTTACCCAGCCCCCGTTTCCCACCTTGAATCTTATATTTGTCATGCAGTTATTTTGTGTTTTTCTTTTCTTTTTTTTTCATGAAGACTCTGTGGCAGTGTCTTCCTACATGCAGTTGTTTTCTGTGTTCCTTTCCCTGCTCATTCACTGAGTCTCCCTGTGAAATGTAGGCTCCTGAAGTCAGGAACTGTGTCTTATTTACTGCTGCACGTACCCAGAATTTAGCGGGGAAGATGCTAAGGGCATATTTATTGAATAGATGAATATCAATATCATAATATTTAAAAAGAATAGGCTACATCTATTATATATATATGAATTTGTGCCAAAAACATATTGCTCAAAGACCATTCAGTGGAGGAAAAAATAATCATTTCAATACGGTAATGTCGATACAATGAATTTGTACCTGTATCTCACATCAGAGGTAAAAGTTGAATCAAACCAAAAACCTAAATGTAGAAGAAAAAAGATGTAAACATATGTTGCTTTGGTTAAGAGAATCATTTACTTGATGTAATATCAAAAGCACCAGCAAGAAAAAAAAATAGATAAATTGGACTTCATCAATATGAAAAACTTATTCAGGTCAAAGGACACCAACAAAAAAGTGAAAAGACAACCTACAGAATGGGAGAAAAAAATTCCAAATCATATACCTGATAAAGATCTACTATACAGAACATATAAAGAACTCTTATAATTCAACAAGAAGACAAACACCCAATTTTCAAAAGGACAAAGGCTTTAAACAGACATTTCTCAGGCAACCCCCTCAGGTCCCCTACCAATGTGGGAGCTTTTCTGTCCTCTCAATAAATCCTGCTCTCAAAAAAAAATAAAAAGTATTGAAAAATTATGATTATTTCAAAGAAGACATACAAACAGCAAACAAGCACATAAAAAGATGTTCAACACCATTAATCATTAGGGAAATGCACATCAAAACCATAATGAGATACTACTTCACACCTACTAAGATAGCAGTTAGTCTTTAAAAACAGAAAAGAACAAGTGTTGGTGAGCAGTCCATAGCATTTATTAGGGGAACGTTTGTACAGAATGCCATAGTAGTCCTTGCAAG